CATCGTTGCCAATCGCAATCGACCCATTGTAAAACAAAACATAAACCAATATATTGTGCAAAAGGTCTCTTCACAAGTTTGTTGTCTTCCTGACAATCTTCTTTGACCGGCCAAGTGGTTGAAAAGGAATGCTTCAATGTTGCGCACGGGCCGGCAATCAAACGTTTGTGTGCAGAAGAGTTGTAACTTACTTAACCACCTTTCAAACAAATGCCGAAAGTCACTTGGATGATCTTGGAATTATTTCCTTCCAGAATTGAAAAAAAAAAGTTCTTATTGTACCAGTTTTCGACCTAATTTTGGGTTTACGCTATGTGTGCCTTTTCAGCCAAAATTGGGTCGGAAAGTAATAATTAACTCGTCAAGTTATTTATTAACAGTAATTTAACTGACAACTGACAAATGGCCTAAAAAATCTATCTGAGAACTGATAAATGGCTCAAATTATAACCAACAACTGACATTTGTATCCCCCCCCCCCATCCAGACCCTCTTTTAAACTTTCGTGGAAAGAATAATCATCATCTTAATAGTAACATCCTCGTGAGGTTTTTCAGAAGCCATTTACAAACCTTTTACAATTTATAAAAACATAAATAACGATAAAAACTCATGGTCAGAATTTAAGATAGTATTCCACCAAGTTCTAGAGCTTATAAAGGAAATGTCTGCCTCGATAGTGTGTCTTGCAGAGCGCGCTTGAAAGATTCCAATGAAGCATTTTCCCTAAGTTCTTTATGCAAGTTATTCCATTTGTTGGCCCCTCTGTAGGAAAAAGTGCACTGGCCGGTAGCCGTTCTTTATAGCGGAATCTGCAAAGAGTTCCGAGTACGAGTGTTACGAGTAGGTATATTTGATCGCTTGCATGTATATTTAATAGTTGCATGTATATTCAATAACTTGGATATATCAACAAAGTTGAAGTGGTAAATTGGCCACCGTAACGATTACAAAAGCTGACGTTTCTAGCGTTAGCCCTTCGTCGAAGCGAATAGAGGAATTGTGGGTTGTGTGTGCTTTTAAAGGCAGAGAATGAAGCTACGTTATTTGTGGGAACATGGCAACGAGAAAAACAAGAATAAATTAGTGTAATGAAAAGCGTTCGTTGATCCCTGTGGGATTTAGACTGCCG